CCTGGGCAGGGAGGGTTGGCCCCGGGGCAGGCGTGCGCGCACGGGGCTTCCCTGCATGGGGGGGGGTTGGCCCCGGGGCAGGCGAGCGCGCACTCCCCGAACTCTGTCCCCAGCTACAGAACTGTCCCCACTCCCCTGAATAAAAACCAGACCATTTATTTCATAACTATAAACACGTGATTTTAATTGTATGTATCGCATAATTTAAAAATAAACTGTTTATCAGAGTGTGTAAGTAAGGGCTGGGGATAGCAAGTGATGGACAGGACAAGAATAGAGAGGGGAGGGGCTTCAAGGAAGGGGCGGGGTGGTAGATCTTCGCCTGTTCTGAGATTTGAAAAGTGATCTTGGGTGTAAAAAGGTTGGAGACCACTAGTGTAGATGGTATCATGAGCTTTCATGGGCACAGCCCACTTCTTCAGATGACCGGAGTTTTTGAGTTTAGGATGTGCAGACCCAAAATAAATAGGAGAAGGGAGGAAGGGAAAAAAAATGGAAGGGGCGGGAAATAAGGAGCAGAGTGTATAAAAATATCAAAGGGAAAACCAAATAGGCAGAACTGGTAATCAGTAATCACCTAAAGATTGGATAGTTTAAAAAAGCAGATAAGGATCAAAGGATAGCAATTAGATGGGAAGGGTACAAGTGCAAGAATCTACACAGAGGTGTTGGCACCTTCATTGAATGTTAGGCTGATAATATCCTAGCCATCCATTATCACGATTGAGTAGGCTATCAGAGTGAGAATTGAATTTGTGAATGAATTGTAATTCCAACACCTCTCTGTATTTGTCTAGTAGAATTGGTTTGTAACAAGACAGCCATTTGAAGATCTTTTAAACAGTGATTAGGTAGATTGAAGTATTCCACAACAGGTTTCTGTATGTTCCCTTTACGTATATCTGATTTGTGTCCATTGATTCTTTCCTGTAGGTACTGTCCAGTTTATATAGCAGTGGGGCATTGCTGGCATTTGATGGCATAGATCAAATTACTGGATGTGCAGTTAAATGGTCTTCTGATTTGTGCTAGCAGACCATTTGTTGTTTAAGTTTATCCTGTACAGACTAACGTGGCTACCCCCTGAAGCAGTGTAAGGGGAGTAAGATTGGAGTCCTTTTGAAGGCAGAAAGGAGACTACACATTTCTATTGATTAGTCTTTTACATGCATTCAAGCAGTTTGGAAAGTAGCAGTTTGTTGAGTGGAGATTTATTGTAATGTCTCTCTTCTCTCCAGTGCTGGAGGTGTTGAGATCTACAACAGTGATGGTAAAATCAAGGTTTCCAATACCCTGGAAAGCCGGCTGGAACTCCTAGCCCAGCAGGTGAGTTAGAGGGAGTTGGATCCTTTCCTACTCAATCTTCTTGGCCAGTGCGCCTGCCAAGTGCTTGGGGCTGGCCTGGCCCCGGGCACGGGGCGCATGCATGGAGCCGGCCCCGGGCATATGGTGCACGGTAAGCGCCGGACCTGGGAGCGCCGCAAATTGGCCACCCGCGCTCTGGGCAGGGGGCGCCGGCGCGGGGGGCCCCGGGTGCGCGGCGCTTGGGGCGGGGGGTCGCCGGCCCCGGGCGCGCAAGTGTCCCTGCCCTCTGGCGTCCGACAGGCAAACGGCCACACCCTCTGGCGCCCGGCAGCCTCTAATGGTTGGGGACCGCTGTTCTAGGCTTTCTTGCCATGTTCCACTTGGTTGGTAAAGTGAACAAGCTTCATCTTGAAGTCCACATCCCTTAGGGTCAATCATCCTCTTAATCTTCAAAGTAACTTACTGTGGGATCAGGCCGCGTTAGATGGGTAACAAGCAAAGGATTGCAAAAAGTAGACAGATTTGAAAAAAATTAAACTATCCGGTTGTATGGAGGTTGGGGAAGAGCACATCTCAGCCACAGTAAGAGATTCTTTCTTCAGAGTTGTATGTTTACCTAGGTTCTTGATATTATGAAGTCTAAAGAACTAAACTGTTCTGAAAGATCCTCTTAACTGAATAGTACAAAAATATGTGGTGGTCATAAAGCTCCACTACAAGTAGCAGTACATGAGTAATAGAACCATTCCACTAGACAGTGTAAGAGCCTTCTGAAGTCCAGTATAGAAGCATGACCTTGCAAACTCCACCATGCCTCCGATGAATCTTGGTCTTGGCAGTCTAGACCTCTATGTTCAAAAGACTAAATTGTGAGAATTAGGGCAAGCTAATCTAAAAGCATTTCGGTGTCCATAACGAATGCAGATAATGGATTTAATCTGGATGGGGTGACCACAAGCTTGAGCTTAACAGATGATCTCTCTGGCTCAGGCTGAAACAGTTTTAGTGATTCCATTTGTCTGTTTCCTCCCAGTGAGCTAGCACCACCAGTATCTGGTGGGTAAACTTCTATATCCTCTCTAAAGATTTGGCTGCACTGATGGAAGTCCTCCATTCATGACTCCAGCATGGAACTGCTGTTTAAGATTTCTTAACTTTTGTGCATATTAGGTTGCTGTTTGTTGCTTAACTATTCTAGTATTAATATGTCATTCTATATAAAGCCTTTAACTGGTGTGCATGCTCTCTCAACAGATGATGCCAGAAATCCGAGGGGCGCTCTTTGGTGCCAATGCCAACAGGAAGTTTTTGGACTAAGCCTGAAGGAAAGTGGAGTCTCTTCCACTGCCATATTGAGGAGAGATGCAGAAAAAGCATCTGATAATTTAAAGCCTAGAAATTTACCTTTTCAATGCTATAATGTATTGTCCAATGTGTGTTCTTCAGTGGAATGATTTTGCATACCTGCTGCGCTTTGCCTGACTTACCAAGTGGTTACAATGCATTGATCAAAATTAGGTGAAGACCAGCCCATTGACAAGTGGAGAATGGATGCAGTTGGGTTCTTGACTTGTCCTGCAATCCTATGTTATAGTCATATTTGTGATTGTGAAGTACCATTCTGTCCATAGGAGCAACCTTCCACGTTAAGGGCTTCTCAGTGTTCTGTTAAACGAGAAGGCATGCAACCCTTTCCCAGGCAGCAAGTGTAGCTTGTTACTTGGTCAGGCCCAGCAGAGTTTTCTGTTCTGTATATGTGAGTAAAGACTGAGCCTGTACTACTTAATTTATTAAAAATAAAAAGTTATGTGTACATGGAGTCCCCAGTAGTCTTTTGTCCAGTGTGTTGTGAGTTAAGAGTAATTAGAAGAGGTTGAATAGAGATGTCCAGGTCAGCAGATAAATCCATCACTTCACTCGCTATTATAGATCTTCTGTCTGTAGGTATTTGCTAACTCTCTCACACACTTGAATTAAGTCTTTCCTGCTGTGACAGGGTGCCTGCCCTGCACTGGGCCTTTAAGCCCAGGGCTCATGCCCTGAGCCTTAGGGTGGCTTGAAGAACCCAGCTGAGGCTGTTAAGCTAATGAGAGCCCAGCTGCCAGATATTCAGAGAAGCCCGGGGGGCTAGGAGAGCTCAGCTGTCATCTATAAAGGGAGGAGCACAGTTTGCTTGGGGGAGAGCCAGTGGAGGGCTGGATGCTGAAGAAGCTGGAGCTCCTAGGAGGGAGAGATGGGCGGGGGAGATGGCCAGCCAAGACTTCCCCTGGAGAGGGGCCGGAGACAAGACCCCGCATTTGTAGCTGGATCATGATGCCGGCTTGGTAAACAAGATAGTTGAGACAGACAATGCCAATGATGAGCAACCCATACAGACTGTAACTTGCCCTGAGAGGGGCTAGATGAGGACAGTCAGGGGGCACTGAGGCACGGGGGAGGGGGGGGCTTGCTCCCTGACACCTGCATAACCTGTTTTGTGTGCAGTGAACTTTATACGCGAAAGATATTAAGTGTCTTTAATACAGTGTTCCTGTGATCAGTCCAGTTATCACAAATTAGCACTAAGCAACAAATATTTATAAGCAATACTGAAGAATTAGCTTTTTGGTAGTAGTTTAATGGGTAGTAGAAAAATTAAAATGCACATATGAACATAGTATTGGCTGCATAATACACCATTTAGTGAGTAAGCTAAAATATTGACTTCTAGTCAGAGTGGAGACTGTCCAACAGCTGGATTCTCTGGCATGCTGAGGTCTCCACCTTCCTTAAGTAGAGCTTGGACGGAGTAAACAACTGAGCTCATTAGACCAGAGTTTGTTTTCCCAGAAGAACCAGAGAGAAAATGTGCACAGAACAACTCTGTCCAGGGAGAACTGGTGGTACATGTGGTGACATTTACTAATAGTTTGTTTTGAGTGGCTCGTGGTGCGTTTAAAATAAAAATCTTGGTCTCACATCATTGTTATTATGGCTAGTTGAACTGATGGAAAAGTTCTATCAGTATATGAGCCTTGTTATCATTTAAGTTAATATTCTGAATAAGGGAATCTAGGACCAGCCTCCTTTCTTCCCCTTCCTAGAAGTGAGGCAGTAGCTCCCCTTCTGGCACTGAGCAAGGACAGAATTAGTAGGACAGCTGTTAAGAATGGCTTACTACCTGTAAATGCATCAGCCTCTTTGGTCAGAGGTTCTCCTGCCTCCTTCCAGTAAGTTCAAACTTTTAGGCTAAGTCTACACTGGCCAGTCTTGCACAAGAACATATGTCAGTGAGCCGCCATTTTTCTGCAAGGGGCTTTTACACAAGTCTACACTGCTCCTTCTTGCAGAAAAAACCCCTCTTCTGCAAGAGCCGTTCTGCCTGGAAAAAAAGGAGTAGTGTAGACTGCTCCTTCTTGCACAAAAGCCCCTTGTGCAAAAATGATGGCTCATTAAGTATGCAAATGAGGCACAGCAATATTCATCACTGCACCTCATTTGCATATATATGTTCTTGCTCAAGACTGGCCAGTGTAGACATAGCCTAACTCTTTAAGCAACTATACTTCATCACTTGCATGGGCTGGTCTCAATGGAAGTAGATCCGCAGCTGCTATTACCAGGTCTTTCTTGTTGCTAGCAGTGTGTATCTTGTATTTACAATAATACAGTTATCCTTCCTGCATTATCTACTTAGCAGTGACTGCTTTATAAAACACTAACAGTTAATGCCTTTGAAGATGTTAAATATTATACCTAGTGTACAGAGTGTGGGGTGAGATACACTGATGTGATAAGCCGAGTACAACACTCCTGTCAATTCCTGACTTCTAGACCTGTAGTTAGTCCTGTAAAATGAAATTCAGCCAACTGTCTACTTTCTTGCAGTGGTAGTAAGGCTTTCACATTGTGCTATCATGTGCTTACCAGGGATAAAGTTATAAAGTATTATCCTTCATCTCCCAGGCTCAGAGGCAGAAATACAGGCTTTTCTCTCACTTTACCAAGTCTACAAAAAAGAGATGTGAGCTCCTCTACACAAATTGCAGATCAAACAATGAAAATCTGGCAGTACTGAATCCTGAAAAATACTTAACTAAGGCTTAGAGTGTCTTATCTCCCTACCATTCCCTCTACTTCCATTTCCAAAGGACATCTCTTATTACAGTAGCATTCTTCCCTGCAGGCCCTGAACCAGAACACTAACCTGTTGCAAGGAGAATTGTTTTGGCACACCCAGGTGCTAGATTCCTTCAGCTAGCACAGTATTTTTATACCTTTAATGCTTTGCTGTAACATTGACATTTGGTTTGTGTCTGTTTCTATGTAACTTCACCTAAACCTTAATTCTTTCTAGTTTTGCTGCCTTCCCACCACCACCCCTAACATAGCTCTTCCCATCCACAGAAAGAACAATATTGTCTCACATTTATACCTTTTGACTTTGAACTTTTGTGACTCATCTGTTTACATGCAGACATTCCTTGCTGGAACAAGTGAGTTTGAACCGTCTCTGTTTGAAGGAACAGCCACAGCAGGGTGGAAACTCAGTCCAAATTTTTTTACCTTCTTTGCACACTAGGGAAAGGAACAGCAAGTCTAGACTTCCAAGCAAGGCAAACAGTGAAGCATTTATAAACAAAGTGAGATGAATACTGGACAAGAGACTACAGATCATATATGGGCAAACTGGTGAGAGCTGAGTCTCAGATTCTTTGCCCTACAGCAGCCTGTGATCTCAAGCAATCTTTGATATCAACTCTATAAAAAAAAACCTGCATGAATACTACTACTGCCTTACAGCCATTCAAAGGAAAAGCTATTATATCATCTTGGGAAAAACAAGAATACAAAAATCATTCTTCCCTATGTTTAAATGCGCAGGAGCTAAATGTAGCATGTAGACCATCAAGGGGCTGTATAAAACTGGCAGAAAAATGACACCATAATATGACTGAGCACCTGTGCTCATTTCCCATGCACAGAGAAAGGCGAAGGTGGTGGTGTAGTTCATAAAAGAAATTACTATGACATGGTCCTGTTCATTTCTGGCAAATCCCATTCTGCAGAAGTGAGGAGGAAAATTGTGCAATCTTCAGCCAGGCCTGATTTAGCAAGAACAAGTGCTAGTGGAAATATCTTAAGATATATTCACCAATGCCAATAAAATAGACACCCTGGGCTATGCCAAAGAGGGGAGCTATAACCAGCGCGCGGCAGCCTGCCCCTTTCATGAATGCAGCAGGGCCCTCGTGGGTCCAGATTTTCCTGCATGTTTAAAACAGAAAAAAAAAAAAGTGACCACACACAGCATTTCAGATATTTGCGACCTACGAACCAAGATTTTGCAACCCTCTTGCATTAAAACCAGATGTACTCAAAGCCATGGTTCTTAACTGATTACCCTGCAATCCTTCAGAGGGGAAGCTCTGTGGGAATGTAGGCAATGCTCTAAGCATTTTCTTTATGTATTTCATCCAGGGATTTCCCTACCCCCCCCCCCCATGGGGGTGTA